TAGTGTCCCTTATGAACTTACTTTTTCACAGCACTATCAGCTTTGTTACAGACATCTTTCATATCCTTAGCTAGGTTTATTCGTAGTTATTAAATTTTTTAAGCTTACCATAAATGGGATTGTTTTCCTGATTTCTTTCTCTGTAGATTCATTGTTGTATACAGGAATACCATTGCTTTTTATGTTGATTTTTGTATCCTGACACTTGCTCAATATGTTTATTAGTTTTAAGAGTCTTCTGATGGAAGTTTTTGGATTTTCTATATAAAGGTTCATGTCATCTGAAAGTAAAGACAGTTTGACTTCTTCCCTTTCTAGTCAAATCTTTCTCTGGAATGGCAGAAGTGGACACAACTTTGCCTTGTTCCTGATTTTAGAGAGAATTCTTTTTCTCCACTTAGTATGAAGTTATGAGTGGGTTCATTATAAATGGCTTTGACTGGTTTAAAGTAAGGTAGCCCTATTTTCATCAAAGTTTTGATCATAAGTGGATGTTGGGTTTTGTCAAAGGCCTTTTCTGTTTCTACTGAGGTGATCATGTGATTTTTACACTTAGCTCCGTGTAGTATATTACATTTATTGATTTACCTATGTTGAGCCATCCTTGCATCACTGGTATTAAACTGACCTGGTCATGATGTATGATTTATTTCATTCTGTTTGCAAGTATCTTAAGGACTTCTGTGTCTATGTTCATTAAAGGAAATTGAAATTTATATTTTTGTTGTTCAGGCCTTACCTGGTTTTAATAAATAAATAAATAAATAAAGCTAGGGTAATGCTAGCTTCATGGAAAGAGTCTGTTAGTTTTCTTTTTCTTTCAATTTCTTGGAAGTATTTGAGGATTACTTGCATGAGCTCTTCCCTGAAGTTATGATAAAATTCAGCAGTGAATCCACTGTGTGCTGGGCTTTTTTTCCAGTAGGGTTTCTATTGTCTGTATTTTACTGCTTGTGTTTGGTCTGTTTAGGGTTTTTATGCCTTCTTTGTTCCATTTTGGCAACTTTTATGTATCTAGGAATTTCACCTCAAATTTATTGAGATAAAAGTTTTTCAAGTAATTTCTTGTAATACTTTGGTTTTCAGCATTGCATATTGTATTTGCACTTTTCATTTGTAAGTGTGTTGATATGAGTCTTCCCTCTTTCTTTGGTATGTTTGGCTAAGGATTTATCAACCTTATTTATCCATTCAAAGAATCAACTCCTTATTAATCCTTTGTATTTAGTCTCAATTTCATTTATTTTCACTCTGATTCCTATAACTTCTTTCCTTTTACAAGTTTTATACTTAGATTTCTCTTTTTTCTTGGCCTTTGGTGTGTATCATTAAGTTTTTTTAATTGGGATCATTCTGTGTTTCTAATAGCATTCATAGGTATAATTTTCCCTCTTAGAATTGTTTTCATTGTGGCCCATAGGTTTTAGTATATTATTTCCATTGTCATTGGATCCTAGAAATTTTAAATTTGTTCTTTAATTTCTTCTTTGACCCTTTGATTATCCAAGTGTATTATTTAATATCCATGTGTTTACATAGCTTATTCTGCTGTTGATTTCTAGTTTTATGTCACTATAATTCAATAGAATGCAAAGGATTATTTCAATTCTTTTGTATTAACTCACCCATACTTTATGACTGAAGATGTGGTCAATTTTGGAGAAAGTTCCATGCATTACTGAGGAAAAGTGTATTCACTTGTTCAATGAAACTCTGTAGATAATCTGTTAAATCCATTTGTCTCATAGTGTGGTTCAATTCTAATATTTGTTAAAGTTTTGTCTGACCTGTATTTTGGTGTTTTGAGTACTGAATTCTCCCAGTATGATGGTATTGCTGTGTATCTGCTCTTTTATGCCCAGCAGAATTTGTTTTATAAAATTGGGTATTCAGCATTTGAAAGTCCTGCCCAGTCAGCCATGCTTTTTCCCGTCCAGCATTGGCCAGGTATGCTGCTGTTCCACTGCCTTCTGAGTAATGAGGCCCTGGATCGCATGAATCTGGGAAGCATGAACTTCTGCTGACAAGATCCAGGCTGACTCATCCAGAAACCAAAGACAGTGAAAGGAACCAGAACAAGGTTTAGTTCCTTAGGGACCACCCACAAGGACCCACTTCCTTCGTCTGGGTCACATCTTCTAAATTTTCTTCACTTCCCAACAGCCCATCCAGTTCCTTCCCCAAAGTCCCACCTCTGAATTTTACTGCACTGCACTCCAATCCTTGAACATGAGCCTTTCAGAGACAGACTACATCACAACTATAACAATACTATCTTAGATAACTGTGTCGTCAGCCTTCCATTGCTGTGACAAAATATGAAAAAAATGTTAATTTTTTTTTTGCTTTTTAATTTTTTGGTGCTGAGAACTGAACCCAGGGCCTCATGCTTGCTAGGCAAGCATTCTACCACTGGGCTAAATCCCCAGCCCCCCAAAATGTTAATTTTATCTGACATATTCTGAGTTTTCAGTCTGTGATTGAGTGGCTTCAACAGTAGATGTGTATTTCTCATGTTCTGGAAACTGGTAAGTCCAAGAACAAAACAGCAACTATTTTGATTCCTGATACCTGTGTTAGCTTTACTATTGTAACAAAATATCTGAGATAATCAACTCATGGTCTATCTTGGGCTACAGAGATTGCAGTCCACTGTATTTGTGCTGATGCTGAGGTAGCATATTATGACAGGAGTATGTAATGAAGCACAGCTGCTGTGCAATGTCGGGTGTATATGTGGCCTGTCACGTGACCGTATCACGTCTGTCTTTCTAATCTTTATGCAATATTGATATTTGTATGATCAAATGCTATGGTCTATCAGCACCCCCACCTGTCTTACAGGTCCCCGGTGTGCTTTGCATATGGTGGCTGTCATGTCTGTCACACTTGTTTCTTACTGTGGATGTCTGAGTCCCAACTGTCACATACGGTTCCTCAGATTGTGTTTTACTCTAGGTTGTGATACAGGGAAACCATTACAGTCAAAATACACAAACCTCAAGTCTCTTTCCCTACTGCCATGAGGTGAGCAGCTGTCCTCCCCAGACCCCTCTCCCATGCTACATTTGAGTTGGAGCCAGCTAATTTTGAACTGAATCTACTGGCATCACGAGGCAAAGTAAAGCTCTTCTTTAATTTATAAGTGGGCATTTTGTCCCAGTCACTGAAAAGTGAAATCACTCCCATGATGAAGACAGGGTGAAGTTTCAACATGTGTGTTTGTTATACATATTTCTTAATTTTTGGCTGGGGATTTAGCTCAGTGGTGCCACTCTTGCCTCACAAGCACAAGGTCCTGAGTTTGATTCCTGGTACAAAATAATAATAATCCATATTTCTTAATTTTTAATAAAAAGAGGAATATTAGTTAATATCCGTTAAAAGTAGGTCAGTGGTATTAAGAAACATTTCATGAAAAAAGATATACCAGTGGCAAATCAACAAGTAAAAAAATGTTCAACCTCATGATACAACAGTGTAGTTTAAATGAGATGACATTACACACATATTAATATAACTAAAATTAGAAAGAATGATCATATCATCAGTGTAAAAACAGACAATGAAGGCCTTCATGCCCATTCAATGCCAAATATGGACAATCTTATAGAGGAACAGGAACAATCATAGTGTGTGGAACTAGAACAGACAACCAATTCAGATACAATTTGGCAGTCTTTTAAAAGTGAAACATTCCATAATCTGAAATTACTGATATATATTTTCATATAACAAATTGTATACTTGTGTTCACTGCACTTTGTCAACAGCCCCAAAATGGAAACAATTCATCTGGCATTAATATATGAATAAACACACAGTGGCACGTTCTTAGAACTGTGAAAACAGGAAAAGTAAACACTTTATGATTTCATTCATATAAAATTGTAAAACTACAAAGTAATCCACTGTGAAAGAAAGTAGATCAGTGGACAGAAGAAGGCCTCAAGAAATCAGCAATACTGTACAAGAGCACAAGACAAATTCTCAGTGTGTTCATCGTAATGGCTTCATGAATTTATGTATGTGACAAATTTTCCCAAATTACACTTTTCCAATATTTCTAGGTTATTACATATCAATCACACCTCAATACATTTTTTTTAATACCAGGGATTGAACTTGGACCTTACACTTGCAAGGCAGGTGGTGGCACCACTGAGCTAAATCCCTAGCCTACACCTCAATACATTTTTAATAAAATTATCTGAGTAAAATATATTCTTTTGGAAACCAAGTTTGACAAGCCCGTATTTACACTTTCATCTCCATCCTCAAACCTAGGGAAGGGCACCCTTGTACCAGTGCAGAAAAACAGCAATACTTGCCAGACAAAAATATCCTTACTCTTTCACATAATGGAACGTCACTCTGTCCCTGCATTTTTGTCTATATAGTAACTAGACTTAGGTAAGCATTGCAGAAAGACAACAGGATTCTGCAAAACCTTAAGAAAATCTTCTTAGAATATCTTCCTAAACTATAGGACATACAGATTTGGAAATAGTGTGATTATGGAGAGACATATTTGAGAATTTGAGGTGTACTTTTATAAAAATTAATTTTATTGCTACACATTTTGTAATGGTCACATTCATTATAGGAAATTTATATCTGTACATAATATAGCTTGTTTTTTCCCTCCCCTTCTTCCAGCAGCCTGTTCCATCGGTTTTCTGGCAGCTCCTTCACTTCCTATTAATGGCACTGTTATCTCTGTACTAATTCTTGTTCAGACCTTGACCCTGCATCATACTATTGATATCAACCTATGAATTATGGACATAAGAACACATGACCCTTTGTAGAATGTAAGGAAAAGTTTACCCTCAACAATATTGGGCATTATGTACAATCATGTCAGAATAATGGAATAAATGCAGGGTATTCCAAGAATGCTGAATGTAATCACTAAATGATGCTTCTTCAGTAAAAATATGGCCAGACCCTTTATGTACCCCAAAGAAAAGTAACTCTTTGGTCTTAGGCCACTAGGAATGTCTTTGAGGAGAAGGGAAAGAGCAGATATCTGCCTTCCCTTGAGATGTTGGTAAAAGTGGTGAAAACTGTTCAAGGATTAGAGGTGAGATAGCTTTTATGAGATAATGACACAAATTTATCTCTGGCAAGGCCCCAAAGACAAGGGTAGAATGTGCAGAGCAGCTCCCATATACCTCACATATGCATGGAAATCACAGGGCACTTCACTCCTCTGAATGCTGAAAGTATGAGGTTCATCTTCAGGCAAATAGCTCCCTCAGAAAGGCTCATTCAGCAGACAGCACATTTTCGGTGGGGCTAACACCCCAATTGTGGGCTTTCAGGAGCTAAATGTCAGACCTTGAGATCAGGGTTTCTGAATTTGCTGCCTTCACGAGGCCTCTCCATGGTGACACTTTTGGTGTTGAAAGAAGCTAGAGCGCTGGCTGAAAGATTTTCTACATTGCTGCATTCATAGGGCCTTTCCCCAGTGTGAACCACCTGATGTTGAATGAGGACAGACTTTTGCCTAAAAGATTTCCCGCACTGGCCACATTCATATGGCCTCTCTCCTGTGTGAATTCTGCAGTGTTGAATAAGGCTGGTGCTTCTACTAAAGGTTTTTTCACATTCATCACATTTGTAAGGCCTCTCTCCAGTGTGAACTCTCTGATGTTTAATGAAGGCAGCTCTTCGACTAAAGGATTTGCTACACTGGCCACACTCATAAGGCCTTGTTCTAGTGTGAACCCTTTGGTGTTCAACAAGGCTGTAACTTTGCCTAAAGAATTTCCCACATGTAGCACACTCATATGGCCTTTCTCCAGTGTGAGTTCTCTGGTGTCGGTCAAGTTTGGATTTGTATCCAAAGGCTTTTCCACACTGACTGCATTCATAAGGTCTTTCTCCAGTGTGAACTCTCTGGTGTCTAATAAGGGTGGCTCTCTGGCTAAAGGATTTTCCACATTGGCCACACTCGTAAATCTTTGTTGTTGTGTGAATTCTGCGGTGTTCAATGAGACTGAAATTTTGTCTAAAGAATTTTCCACATTCCCCACACTCATAAGGCCTTTCTCCCGTGTGAATTCTTTGGTGTCTAACGAGGGTGGCTCTTTGACTAAAGGATTTGCCACACTCCCCACATTCATGAGGCCGTTCTCCAGTGTGAATTCTGCAGTGTTCAATGAGGTTGGAGCTTTGGCTGAAGGATTTCCCACATTCACCACACTTATATGGCCTTTCTCCAGTGTGAACTCTCTGGTGTATAATAAGAGTGGCTTTTTGACTGAAGGATTTCTCACAGTGGCTGCACTCATAAGGCCTTGCTGTGGTATGAATTCTCTGGTGTTCAACAAGGCTGAAGCTCTGCCTGAAGAATTTCCCACATTCAGCACACTCATATGGCCTTTCTCCTGTGTGAGTTCTCTGGTGCCGAACAAGATTGGATTTGCATCCAAAGGCTTTCCCACATTCCCCACACACATAAGGCCTTTCTCCACTGTGAATTCTGCAGTGTTCAATGAGGTTGGAGCTTTGACTAAAAGACTTTCCACATTCACTACAGGTAAAAGGTTTTTCTCCAGTATGAACTCTCTGGTGTATAATAAGGGGGGCTTTTTGGCTAAAAGACTTTCCACATTCACTGCACTCATAAGGCCATTCTCCAGTGTGGACCCTCTGGAGTGGAACAAGTGAGTTCTGGTCTTGGAAGGCTTTCTCATATTTGCTAGACTCAAAATATCTTTTTGCATTAATGATTTTTGGGTACTGAATAAGTGAGTGTTTGGGGTTGGAAACTTTTTTGCATTGATTTGATTTGCAATAACTTTTCCCAGTGTGTATAGTCTCTACACCTGTCGTAATTTTATCTGGCTTCTGATTTTTTGGAATGGCATGAAGACAACCCCATTTAGTTGAGAAGTCCTGTCCAATCTTCCTACAGAAGAGGGGATTCCCTGATACATGGAATAAACAGCTCTTCACAAAAGAGGCACTATGTATGTATCCTTTTAATGCAGTTTCTGCACTGTGATGCTTCTGTTCCTGGAGATGATTTGTACACGCCCTAACAAAGCACTGCTTCTGTCCAGGCAAATCATCCAGATGCAGAATGTCTTTCAGGGCTGGGACACAGATATCACAGGCACGCTCCTTCTGGGTAGATGGACCTGCCTTTAGGGTCTTGACATGTGATGCTGCTTCTTCAGAAACTCTCTGCACAGAAGGTGCCTCCTTTGTTTCATGCCCATAAACTGAAAGAGAAGCAATGAGATGCATACTGTCTCCGGTGGACGGTTACTGTGTTTTAAATTTTTTTGTATAATAAGAGTTTTTGATGTCTTAAAAAATAATGATCCCATCCAGAACAATACTGCAGACCACAGTATTGTGGACTGTATGCTCTTGGAGTACACCTTTGCCCTAACTACCTAGGCCCAGGCACTAGATAACTAAGGCCAGCCTTCTTCCCAAAGCCTACCGAAATGAATGATGAAGTATGAGGTTCATCTTCAGGCAAATAGCTCCCTCAGAAAGGCCCATTCGGCAGACAGCACAGTTTTGGCAAGGCTAACACCCCAATTGTGGGCTTTCAGGAGCTAAATAATGGCAGACCTTGAGATCAGGGTTTCTGCATTTGCTGCCTTCATGAGGCCTCTCCACAGTGACACTTTTGGTGTTGAAAGAAGCTAGAGCATTGGCTGAAAGATTTTCTACACTTGTTGCATTCATAGGGCCTTTCCCCAGTGTGAACCACCTGATTTTTTTTTTTTGGTACTGGGGATCGAACTCGGGTCTTTGCGCTTGCAAGGCAGGCAGTGGAACCACTGAGCTAAATCCCTGGCCCTGAGCCACCTGATACGGAATGAGGACAGACTTTTGCCTAAAAGATTTCCCGCACTGGCCACATTTATATGAAAAAAAGAAAGTTTAGTAGGCCAGGAGACAGGAAATTGGGGACCAGATGAAAAGCATATAAAGTAATATTTTTTCCCTTTTCTTTCACTTGCTTAATAATTAGCTGTATAAAATCCAATAGCTTCTAGGGCCGGGGATTTAGCAGTGGTTTCGCTGCCTGCCTTGCAAGTGCAAGGGCCTGAGTTTGATCCCTGGGGGCGGAAAAATCCAACAGCTTCTAATTTCAAATGTTAGCCCACAAGTATGTCGCCTCTTGTTGAGTATGGTGATAGGGTCCATGGTTTATGCAAACCCCAGACCCAGAGTGAAAGATTAGAAAAACCTCAAGATCTCAAAACAAACTAACCAGAAATATTCCACCCACAGAATTAGCAGGTATTTTCTTCCTTCTAAAATTGGTCTACACTACCCATTTTCCTTGTAGAAGAACAATGACCTCCAAAGAAGAATTTACATGGTTCAGTAATCATAAATGTAGCCTGAGACCTCATTTGGTGCAACTGTCTTCTTGGTGCTTGTCCACCTTCATGCTTTAAAGTACATTTTCTATTGCTCTGGAAATCTATCATTTTGCAATAAACTCTACCCATACTCTATAAGACTGCCTATTCATCTTGTCTAAAATTTTCTGTTGAAGATACAAAGAATGCAGGCTGAATAGTGCTGGTTCCTTGTGGTCTTAGGAACCAGTTTCTTGCTACATGCATAGCTTGCCCCACAGTGTCTTTCCTGTAGAAACCAAAGGCTGTAGCTTCATGCATTCCTCTCCTGCTTCTGCCTCCCAATGACCTGCTGCTTCCCCATGTCACCCTGCATGATGCCACATACAGTGTACCTCCTGCTCTCACAAAATGAACTTATAAATTATTCTTTCAGGGGCATTCACTTCCCTGTACTACACTCAATTTTCTCTACAAATTAAAATCCATGGGTAACTGTTAAAGTGATTAGCGCAGTCAGGATATCTCACATAAGACGCTCTTTCTTAGACCACTCTGTGCTTCTTGCCTGGCTGCACCACTTAGCACCTGCTGCCCCGAGGGCTCTACCAACTCAGTGCACTTCTGCTCTGGCTGGTGCCTGCTTGTGCAGTGTCTGATTTTGCATGCTAGGATTTTACAACCTAAAGCACTGATAATGGACACAGTCTTAGCATAGTTGGGTCCTAGGAATTCAGTGTGTTTCTTGGCATAAGTGCTGCATGCAACTGGCTTGTCTCTGGACCACTGTAATTCTGGGCACCTGATGGTAACAATGGGATGGGCTAGTGTAGTACCAGGCAAGCACAAGGCCAGTGGTTAGCCTATTGAGCAAAAAGGCTCAAAAGAAACAGGGAGAAGCTTTTTCCAATGCGGCTGAAAATGACTGGGGTAAATCTGACCTCCGGCAGGCAGTATCAAGCTAGATGGTGAGGGAAGCTTGGAGGTTTAGTGGCTGGCTCTGAGCTCCAGGTAGGATTCCCCATCAACTTCACAATCTATTCTCCACCTCCTTGCTTAGGCAAGATGCCACTAATCTTTACAAATATTCTGGAAAGATGTTGGCTCATATCCTCCAACAAAATAACTTTTGGACTTGCCACCCTGAGTATAGCGCATTTCTAACACATTTTACATCTCTAGCAAGATACTGTTGGAAAAAAATCCAGAGTTATTTTTTGGTTAGTGCCATAGCAAAATTAGTTAAGGGCTGGTTTCTGAGATTTTTTTATACTTCAATTTGTTCTTTCTTACTCTGATAAATATTTTTCTATTCTACTTGGGGATAATAAGAATTCTAAAAATTCTACTATCATGCAAGGTTTCCTTAATATAATGTGAAAATATCTGGGGACTGATTGTATTTATCATATTTTAAATTTTCTGTCTGTAATGATGTTCCAACATCCTCAGGAATCTTGTGGTAGGGGAGAGACCACTGCTCCTGAGTTTAGTCAATTCCTATAGACAGCCAAGGGCTTGGACAGGAGCCTGCTTGTCATATGCAAACCAGAGTTTTTACTCCAAGCCACTTCTTTTATATGGCTTACAGGAGGAACTATTCCTTGGCCAAAACTATCATGGGGCCAGATACCAGAAAACTAATGTCAACCCTATGACTCAAAGTCCACCAAATTACCCGATCCAATCATGCTTACCCTGAGCTACTTTTCTGCAGAAACCGCCAATAAAAGTTGTGGCCCAATGTGTATTTCATTCTTGGATCTGCTTTCTGCTAATGAGTACTTTTTCATGAGGTCCTGTGTGGCTTGTACAATCTCTCATAAATGTAAGTAACAATTTTTATTTATTTATTTATTTTTTTAAATTTTTTTATTTTGGTACTAGGGATGGAACTCAGGTCCTTGTGCTTGTGAGGCAGGTGCTGGAACCACTGAGCTAAATCCCCGGCCCAACAATTTTTCTTTTAATGGCACTGACCTCTCATGTTGTCACTCAGTGATCACAAATATACCCCTGGATGTATATCATATTAGTGAAGGGGAAACCCTATCATGTGCACAACAAGGACTGAGTTGTTAGGTTTTTCTTGGATGAGGGAACTCAGGGAAGGCTGGAAAAGGGGCTGTGTGGCAGTACTGGATATTTTCAGATCACAGAATGAGGGTGGCCTGGCCAAGCAGAAGACTGAAGAGGGGTGTGGCTGTCCTTAGGAAGGAGAGGAAGGGTCTCCAACTCAGCTCACCGACAGGGTTTTCAGCAGGACCTCATCTCTGGAGACACGTGATACTGTGTAGACTACTGGTTGTGTCCAGTGGGAAATGAGCATCACATATTCAGGATTATTTAACAACAATGTACACATATACAGTATAGGAAAAGTGCCAGCAACACTGTAGCGTGGGTCTTGGAAGGGTCACAGAAGAGCCTAAGTCTGGGACAACCCAGGACCAGAATTCACAGTTGAAATGAAAAGTCAGAAAAGAAATGAGTGAGGTGTAACCTGTGGTACTTTCACCAAAATATGGTTGGAACACTCTGCAGGTCCCTGGAATGATTTAAACAGTCTTGCCATCATGCCCTTCCCAGCTGCCACTGACCTGGGCAAAACAACCAGGTATCCCCACTCCCTCCCAGCTGTATAACTACACGAATGGCAAGTCTTACAGAAAGCCAACTAAGGCAAGTAGTCAGCAGTGGCCGTGGGCAGCTCAACACACAAAAGATTACAAGAAAAAATGAGTATCACAGAAACTCTGGAAGAAGAGTCTGGCAAACAATCCGTAGTGCACGTGCACATTGATCACGACAATGCCTGCAGTTCCTAACATACGCAGCAGGAAAGAACGGTCAGCTAGAAGGGCACAGAAGTTGGAGCAAGAGAGCAGGGCGAGGGCCCCTGAGGCAGTGCACTCAGCTGAAGTGCTGGCCCCAGAGCTCCTGAGGAAAGACGGTGAGAGGCTGTCAGAGCCTACAGTCTGGCTGCAGAAAAGGCAACGCTTCTCTGCGGGAGAAGAGGACAGACAGAACCCCAGAGTCTGGGGTGGTGTGAGGGCCTTACCCAGTGAGGTGGTAAGTGCAAAGTTCTCCAGCATCACTTCGAGGTACAGGAACCTCTGAGTCTCATCCAGAAGCCCCCACTCTTCCTGGGAGAAATACACAGCAATGTCCTCAAAGGTCACACGGCCCTGTCATGACGGGGACACATTCAACAATTTCTCCCTTACGATTCCAAGTGTACCCTGCCCCCCAGTCTCCTCTATCTTGCAACTCTGAGGAGACACCACGTGCCAACCGAAGCTCACATCTCTCATGAGCCCATCAACCACTGTGCTCTCTCACAGCAGCAGGCAGGTGGCTGGAGAAGCCATTGTGAACTCTGGAGGTGATAACCCCTTTTTGTTGTGCAATTATTCTGTGGTTCCCTAGGTTGTTCCTCCCACACACATCTAGGTATGAGCTCGTCCTTTATGTCCCAAATGCCAGGGCTGGCAGGTCTTAAGGTCACAGTTCTTCTCCGAGTGCAGTCTCCTTGGACCACGGTCCTCTCACATGGCTGACTCCACCTGCACCGCATCTCCCTGGTCTCCCCATGATTTCTTGGCACGTGTGCCAAGGGAAAGCTGAGATGGATCCTGAATCTAGCACTGTGCAGATCTCTGATGATTGTTGCAGTCAGACACAGGTCACATCTTGTTCTGAATGCCTCCCTGCCTCATAGATCCTTGCTTTGGTCTCAGCCACCAAGAACGACCTGGGGAATCACAGACCCCATTCCTTGTCCACTTCTCCTGTATTTGATGTCCTATCAACAGTCCCATTCTTCCTTTATTCATCTAACAATAATTCAATGCCATGCCCCAAAGGCACTCCGGGCCAGACCCAGTGATCCTACCAGATGACTAATTGTGTCCCTCAGTGATTCCACTATTCTGACAGAAATTCCCCAACACACCAAGCACTCCCAAGCCCTGCTAAGTCCAGAGCTTGGTGAACAGGCATGAATACTTGCCTTACATTCCTAAGTTTCTGCGTCTGACTCATGTCCACTTTTCTCAAGGAAGCCCAGGGTGGCCTCAAACTTGGAATTTTCCTGCCTCAGCCTCTAGACTAGCTGGGGTTACAGGCTTATGCTACTATACCTAGCTCAAACTTCTCTTTTAAAATGGCCCAAACTCCCAATATTCCCAACAAAAAGTAGTTTTATTATAAATATTAACAACCCAGTGGATGGAGCTTCTATCTTTCCAGTTGCTAAAACCAAAACCCTTCGAATCACTCAGCTTGGTCCCTGACCAAGCTCGGCCTCATGTCTCAGCATTTCCACATTTTGGGGCCTATGGGGAAACTTCATTTCTCACCCCACGGGTTGTTAAGGGTTGCAAGAGAAACGATCCATACAACCTCCAGCCTGGGTTTACCACCTTGGGCTTGGGATTTCTTCAGTCACAGGAGCAGGGGGGTGGAAGAGTGTCAGGCAGAGTTCTGCGACACAATTCCAGAGACGCAGTGGGTTCACACCAGGGACACCCTCCCCTCACCTTCTGCAGTCAAGGGATCTGTGGGAAGAAGGTCGTGAATGGCACGTGAGGATGGAGGGGCCCCGGGAGCTCAGGGCTCCTCCCTGCATCCCACACAGACAGCCCTGGCTCCCGGGGACTCCAGGAAGCTCGAGTCGTTCTCAAAGCTGACTCAGAGCGCGGGACATTGAGAAGGACGCGGCCTTCCGGGCCTCTTCCCCTCTCCCAGGCTGTTCTAACTCTGGTCCAAGCTCCGGGACCAGGCTCCGCACACAGTCCCTCCCGGCCCAGCTCCGAGGTCGGAGGTGGGGACGCTGGCTCCGGGCGCGGTGGGCGGAGGACAGGCGCTCACCTGGGCATGGGCCCTCGATGGCATGGGCCATCGATTTCACCGCAGCCGCCCCTAGTGCCAGCTGGTGGGCAGCTGGGTCGACCCACCCCTCTCGTCTCTCCGGGATCACCACCTCGTTCTGACTCACTCGGGAATCTCAGACAGTCCAGACCCTCCTGAGCTGCCAGAAGGACCAACCCGCAGATAGGCAGGAAGTCCCGCCCTGAATCTGTGGTCCAACCCGGAAACGACCCTCTTCTGAACGTTCATTGACTTAGCTTGTTGCCACTCGGATGGTGGCATTGTGGGTATTGCAGTTTTTACAGAGGTGCAGCCCGGGCTATGGACTCTATAGGCCCAGATGTTGAAGTCCGGAGGCCCAAGGCCCTGGCTTGGTCCTGCATGTGGGGTCGGGATAAAACGTCTATCTCCTTACTGTTGCTCTGGTTCTCCTTACTGTTGGTCTGGTTCTCTTCCACCCTGGATGCCAGCACCCCTCCTCATGTCTCCCTGCACAGGGTGGTTGGAACAGCATGATCTGCTACCCCATAGAGTCTCCTAATGTAGAAAGTTGGGAACCTTCGCCTGTGGTGGAGCCGGTGTGTTGGGCCTGCTCTTTGATCACTCTTGCTTTCCCCTATTCTCCCTCTCCTCCTCCTCGTCCTTCTCTTCCTCCTTCTTTTTTTGGGGGGTACTGGGGATTGAACTCAGGACCTTGCACTTGTGAAGCAGGCAGCAGCACTACTGAGCTAAATCCCCTGGTATCACTCCTCCATTTTTACTGTCCATGTGATCAAATTTTGTGAAGTTATGAATTTCTGGAGGCATCTTATTGCCTTGTTTTCTCATGATTTCAGTGGGGTTTTTTTGTTTTTTTTTTTTTTTTTGGTTGTTTTGGTGACTTATAAGTCATTTGAGTGTAGAAAGCTCTGTCCCTATTGTGATGATTACTTTAGTAAGTGGGTCTCTCTCTGTGTTGTGACACTGGCTTTGGATATCACGATAATTTTTAGTTCTATCTTTGATCGCTTGAGTGCTGTACATCCTCTGTCTACAGTGGATAGTTCCTCATCCTGCTGGAATCGGTGCTTACTAGAAAATGCTATGTCTGTCTTTTTACTGCTGCATCAGAAGTGATTATTTCTTCCTCTTTTGAGCTGCTGTTCATCTGGTGCTGGGCACATTGCTCAGTCCCATTTTTTTCTTTTCTTATTACCACTCTTTCTGGATTCTGTCTAATTACTGCCACAAATCTTGAAATACTCCAGTCTCCTCACAGAGCCCTCTACTTGTTGCTTTTGGAACCAGACCTTAGAGCTGTTCTTGGATCCAAGTTATCTCTCTCCAGGCAAGTGATTTTTGACCAAGACTCCAAGAAATATCATGGAGAAAAACATTCTTTTCAGTAATTTGTGCTGGCTAATTGAATGTGCATATGCAGAAGAATGAGTGTAGATTGCTTCCTCGCACTGTTTACAAAAGAAAACCCAAAGCGGAGCAAAAAGTAAAACCTTTTAACTATGAAATAAATATGTTACCATAGGGAAGCATTTCAAGAAAATGAAGTTTAGATAGGACACAAAGGCACAGGCAACAGACTAAAAATAGACAAGTTAAGAAGCTTCTAACATGCAAAGGAAATAATCAACTGAGTTTTGAAATAACCCATAGAACAGGAGAAAATGTTTGTAAATTATTCATTTGACAAGAGAGTTATATTCAGAATACATAAGGAACTCAAGAAAGTGAACTCCCAAAAATCAAATAACTCAATAAAAATACTCTGAATATTTGAGTAGATATTTCTCAAATAAAAACATATAAATGACCAACACCTATATGAAAAATGCTCAGTTTTACTGATACTAGGGAAATAAAATCAGTATCACCATATCATCTAACCTCAGTTGGAATGGCTATCATAAAAAACAAGGAATAACCCAATGTTGGTAAGGACGAGGAGAAAGAGGAACTCTTCCACTTTTGGTGGAAAGTTAAAATTAGTATAGCCAATATGGAAAAGAGTAAATAGTAGAGATGGTCCCCAAAAACCTAAAAAGAGAACTCTAAATTTCCATCTCTCTCTACTTCTATCTATTCATCATATATATTTTATATACGATGAAATAATTATGTTAAAAAAAACCCTGGCACTTTTGTGTTTATTGTGGCACTATGTGCCATATATAGAATATGGAAATAACCTACATGCCCATCACTGGATGAGTGAATAATGAAAATACTATAGGTATATTCAGCGATTAAAAAAGTGAAATTGTGTCATTCTCACCAACAAAGATAGAACTGGAGGTCATATTAAAATGAAATAAATCAGACACTAAAAGACATATTCCACATGTTCTCACCCATTTGTGGGAATTAAAAAGGTGATTTCACAGACTAGCAGAATGGAAAGTGTTTACAAGAGACTGGGAAGGGCATGAAAGAAGGGAGACAGAGAAGAATTAAATACGGGACGATGAAACAGCAGAGGAGTTAGTTCTGGTTTTCTACAGCACAATAAGATACCTGTTGGACAAACAACCCTTGCTATGTTTCACAATAAAGAATATTGAATTCTCAACACATAGAAATGATTTATGTCTGAAAGACAGCAGTGATTATTTGCATGAATTGATGTTTAAAACTGTATGCATGTATCGAATTACCTTAATATACCTCATAATATTGTACAAGTAGTATTTTTCAATTAAAATATTTTTGAGAAAGAAAACACCTAATTTAGGAATCAAAAACTTTATTTGCAAACCAATTGAACTCAAGCAGTAAGATCCTGTCTGAAGTATAAAGGCAGATTATCTGCATGTTGAAATAAAAGTAAAGGCAAAATTACTGTAAAGTGACAAGGCAATATTAATTCACTAAGATCAATGTTTAACTCAGATCATTGTTCAAACTTTGGTAATGTGATATAAAAAGGACTAAACTCTATCCTGATTGTACATACAAATGTTAAAGTTCCTGCAAAGATTATTTTTTAAAGAAAAAGACATACTTGTAGAATGTGGATGTTTATTAAAAAACAAATGTGAGGGCCGGGGATTTAGCTCCGCAGTTCGGTGGCCTGCCTTGCGAGCGCAAGGACCCAAGTTCAATCCCCGGTACCAAAAACAAAACAAAACAAAACAAAAAAACAAATGTGGGGCCAGGGATTTAGCTCAGTGGTTCCACTGCCTGCCTTGCAAGCGCAAGGTGCCGAATTCGATCCCCAGTACCAAAAACAAAAATAAAAAACAAATGTGTCAAATAAAAAGAAATGTGATAGTTTTAGAGTAAGGTAAGATATAAACATTCATAATTTTGATAGCAAAAATTGCTACTGGCTTTTTAGTACATGTTGTAATTACAGATGTTGGTATAGAAATACAAAGAACTACATGGAATGTCAGGTAATAAAAGACTTAAAAGATTTTTTTAAAAAAGCACAGAACATGCTCAATGAAATAGACCTTTAAAAACATCTTTTCTTCTGTGGGATTTGGAGCTTTAAAATATTTCACTTAGGTGAAAATAATTGAGAGAAATATATTCAAAATTGTCTAAATACTAATTTTGTTTTGTTTTGTTTCTTGGTACTGTGGATTTGAACACAGGTCCTTGCGCTTGCAAGGCGGGCCACCAAATTGCTGAGCTAAATCCCCAGCCCACTAATTTTGGCTATTAGACGTTAATGATGTATTTTCTGTGAGATGAACAGTCCATACTTTGAAAATGAAATGTGAAAATAAAGAACTATTAAACTATAATATGGAAACATTATTATTAATAAAATGAGTGAGCTTATTTTGATACAATATTTAATAAATAATGATGAATGAGTATGGATATTTTCACTGAACTGATTGAACCCCTTCATTGTCCATCACTTTTCTTCTTACTTCCCACTTGCTTTGCTGGTCCTGGGGAATGAACCCATAACAGAGCTGCTCAGGGTTGAGGCTGTAATCCTCCCATGCAGTGTTTGAGCACCTATGGCTGTGGGCATGTGCCACCATGCCTGGTTGCCCATCATTTTTCTTAAACAAAGTCTAGATTTCTTGGCCTGTCCTCAGTGATTGCTCAGGACCTTCCTTATCTTCATCTCTGCTGACCTCCTGATTGGTCTTGAAGTCAAAACCAGGATTCACCCAACTGCCATGACCCTGCACGTGGCTTCCTTATGTGAGTCTTTCCTGGCAACTTTCCCCAATCAAAAACATCTCAACACAAAAATGTACCAACAACATAATTTTGGAGAAAGAACAAAAGAAAAAGAAAATCTTTCAAATTGTCTTTCTAAAGCCCCAAGTGAAAGACTTGCCTTGGGCCTTAAGCTCTGAATTTTCTCCATTCTCCTTTATGATAATGTTCTGAAATTCCCCAGTGAAATATGCAAGGGATAAAAGTAGGACTCTTTGTTTAACTGTGTATACGATAGTCTTTAAAGGGCCGGGGATTTGGCTCGTGGTGCCGTGCTTGCCTCGAAAGGGCAAGGTTTCTGAGTTCGATCCCCAGTATTGGCAACAAAACAAAGCAAACAAAACAAAAAACAAAACAATGGTCTTTTTAAAAATCTCTATTATGAGATTGATCAAGGTAGAAAATTTAAGCTTCACTGAAAATGGTATCACACACTCTGGTATCGAAGTCCCCAAAGACTGTTAATAAATGTTCACTTGATTGTTTGAAGGGCATGTGGAGAACAGACTCAGCCCTGTTCTGGATGAGGAAACACCATTTTCCTCTCCCAGAAGGCAAAGCAGAACTGCGAGATTCTGGAGTCCCTGATGATGAGCAGAAAGGGGCTGAATGCTGGGAAGCAGGAGGCCACCAGCACGGAGCTGTTCACCATCCACTGGCCCCAATTTGTGTGTAGACTCATCCAGATGGTGAAAATAGTGTAGACTGAATAACAGGCAAAGAAGGAGCTGGCCAGGACCAGGATGGTGCCTGCGGCTCTGGCCTCGTGGGAAGGTCTGGGGCAGAGGCTGTGGCTGCATATGTGCTGGTTCCACTGCCTGTGTCTGTGCAGGACCAGGTCACGGAGCCCAAACTCAGTAACTCAGGAAAAATAAATAAAAGTATATATGGTAACCCATGTCTCTCTGTTATCGTCCAGGAACAGTGTCCACAATTATTTTTTATACTCAAATTTTCTTGCACAATGGATCATTTATGTTTAAAAGAATGAATTAATGTATCATGA